AAAAAGAAAAAAGAAAAAAAAAAAAGAAACCCCGCAACAAAAAAAGACATGTTTACAAGCAAGAAGATACAACCCTATCGTATAGAATCCCCCTCCCAATCTTTGACGGACTTCCCCCAGAAAGTAGTAAGTTATCATTAAGTATCAGCATCAGCAGTAGCAATAGTAGTAAAAGCGCCCACCTCGGCCTACACGCTCATGCACATTCCCCGCACCTAAAACTTCTTCCCCTTCTTATTCCTCTTCCTCTTATCCCTTGTATCCTTCAGGACTACGGGCACGTCCATCAACTCCCACTCCATCTGTCTAATCATGTAGTCATCGATATGCTGCGGTTCCCTATCGACTCTGCCCCAACCCTCACCATAGACATCATGTCCCAGACCCTTATTCACATTCGTCTCAGCAGTATCCTCCTGTACAACATCGTCGACTTCCATTGGCATGGGAGTATCCGCGACACTTGGGATAGGAGTAGCGGCATTCGATGCGGGCGCGCTTTCCGCAGCAGCAGCGGCGGCGGCGGTGGCAGCGGATAATGAAGATTTCCTCCGATGCCGTTCCCGTTCTCTTATCTGCTGTTCCTCAAAGTCCGCGACATCTGTATCGACGACTTCCTTTTGCGCGACTTTCGCTGCGGCAGCGTCCTCAATGTCTTCGACCTGTTCGAGGGTCTTCTCGATTTCGCGTTGGCTGGTTCCCGGGACGATGGGTTGGTGCGTGCTTTGGTCTTCGACGTGCAGTTCTCGGACTACGTCTTCGCCTAACATGTCCGCGATGGAGAGTTTGTGGAAGTAGTCGGTGGTGAAGTCACCTTCCTGGATAATCACGTCGTCCAGCATACGCTTTTGTTCGGATTTGCGGAGGATGTTGGATTCGATTGTGTACTCCGAGACGAAGCGGTAAATGTGCACGTCCCGGGTTTGTCCGATTCGATGACAGCGATCTTGACATTGTTTATCCATGGCGGGATTCCAGTCGAGATCGTAAAAGATGACGGTGTCGGCACCGGTAAGATTGATGCCGAGACCGCCGGAACGTGTGGAGAGGATGAAGACAGGGATTTTAGGGTCGTTGTTGAAGCGGTCCGTGAGAGCTTGACGTTGCTCGACTTTGGTGGCGCCATCAAGACGCAGATAGCGGTGACCATGGATGTTGAGGAATTGTTCGAGGATGTCGAGGACTTTTGTCATCTGCGTGAAGATGAGGGCACGGTGACCACCGGCTTGGAGTTCGCGGAGGAGGTGGTCGAGACGTTGGAGCTTACCGCAGTCATATTGGAGGAGACGTTTATCTGGAAAGGCGATGGAGAGGCGGATACGGGATTCGTGGAAGGGGTCAGATGGGAATCGTTGCTGGACCCGGCGGACAAGGTCAACACCGGTCGAGGTGAGAGCAATCTCGGGCATGTCGGTGGCCACGACGACGGGTGTGATGCAGCCGAATTTGATGATGGTGGTTTCAAGGGAAGCAGCGCGTTCAGAAAGGGTTGGAATCATAGACGAGATAGCCGAGGAGTGATTGAGGAACCATTCCGTGGTTTGCGAGCGGTTTCGAGGGGGTGGTTTAAGAGGTCCCACGGATATATCACGGGTACAGACTTCCACAAGGTCGGCGGGGCAAAGAGGTTTGTGGTGGGTGAGAATTTCGTTAAGGCGGATGCGGGAGTTGAGGCGGCCAAGGTGTTCGAGGTCGGCCTGGTATTTCTGGTATCGTATGTTACCTTGAATAGTAATGAGATCCTTGGGAGCCGGCTCGAGAGCAGCTGCCTTTTCGTTATAATACTGGCGCAGAAACTCGGAGGCTGATAGTTTTGATATCGAACTCGCATGGTACGAGGTGAGATGGTTATTCTTTGCAGGCACAAGACCTACAAATTCAAGCAGGTTGGTGCCAAATGACGGGTCTGTCAGGTCGCTATTTATGAGACGTTTCCGTACCAAGAGCTCCTTAATCTCATAATCGGCAACGACTGACTTTTGCATAGCGAATGACGTTACGATTTGTCGAGTCTCGAAAAGGTCAGGATGATTGCACACTTTCCGAAGCTGCATCAGACAGTTGATGATGGAGAGGTAGTTTCCGGACGCCAACGTTTCTCGTGTTTTCGCCATCGACATGAAGTCGTCATAGAGGTACCGCTGGCGCTTCGAAAGTCTGCAGTAGACGACGTGTTCGTACTTGGCTGGCATCTGCTTTTCAACATCTGCCTTCAGTCGCCGAAGAAGATATGGCCTGAGGACTTTGTGGAGCTTCGTAACCGTCCGCTTTGCCTCATCATCCATACCCTCACGGCCGCCCTCGATCAGCTGGTCCACTGGATGGGCAAACCATTCCTGGAACTCCTGCAAATTTGCGAACCCGGCTGGGAGACTGGTAGTGCCAGCCGGCATCAAGAAATAGAGCAGCGACCATAACTCAATCAAGTTATTTTGTAGCGGTGTTCCTGTGAGCAACAGCCGAGCTTCTGACTTGAAGTTCAGCAAGGTCTGCCATCGTTGAGATCGGAAGTTCTTGATGTTATGGGCCTCGTCAAGGATCAGGTAATGCCAATTCCGCCGCTTGAAGGTAACCTGGTCCTGGAGAACAAGTTGATACGAGGTGATGCAAACATGCCACAGGTTTGTATCGAACCATCCTTTACGCTTCTCTGCTCTCTGCTCTCGATTTCCGTAATATGTCAGGATTTTAAAGCCAGGTGCCCATTTCTTGAACTCCATTTCCCAGTTGAGCATGACGCTGGTCGGAACGACGATAAGATGAGGCCCCCAAATACCCTTCTCACACGCAAGATGTGCAATAAGCGCAATGGTTTGAATTGTTTTTCTAGAACAAGGTCAGTACAGTACCAAATTTTTTATACAATGGCACATACCCAAGACCCATCTCATCAGCCAGGATGCCGTTAGTATTGTTTTCGTACAGACCGGCCAACCAATCCAAGCCATAATGCTGGTATTCTCGCAAGGTACCACGGAGGAGAAATGGTATCGGTGTACTAATCTCATGATGCGGCTGAGGGGTTGCTTCCGGCGAAGTAGTTGGAGATGACTGGGCACCGGTATCTTTTGCATCTGCTTGAGATACTGAGGTCGCGGTATCGCCATCTACTGACTCCTGGTTTTCAGGAGCCGGCTGTGCGTCGTCGGGTTTCTTCGGCGTGACGCCGTCGTCCTCCAACTCTACTATCCGAGGCGGTGATGGTGGACGCTCCAGCATATTGACATCCTCCTCTTCCTGCCTAGGCTCCGGATCGTTCAATACAGCTGGCTCAGAAGTCTCTGCGACCGACTCGACTGGGACTGTCACAGGATCGATTTCTATGGACTCGCCAACAGACTCCTCACCAACCCCACTAGGCGGAGGTATAGCAGCGGATTCTTGTTCCTCCTCCTGCACATCTGTCGATTTTTCCGGAGAGGCAGGTTGACTAGACTCTGGCGCAGACGCCTTAGGTACTCCAACCAGGTCAACCACGTCGAGATCATCCTCCTCTTCATCTTCACGTAATAGAGTTTGGTCACCTTCCACCGATCGAGGCTGCGCCTTTTTCGCCGAGAGACCTGCAAAACCACCATAAAAGCCCAGTAATCCAGTATCGCCGTCATCACTTTCGTCATCTTCGCCCTCTGAAGACATACCCTCGCTGCCCATATCGGAATCCATGTCGATCGATTCGTCGCTGTCATCCAGGAGGGCTGGGTCAACCTCTTCAAGCTCTGGAACAGGAGTATCTGATCCGACGTCTGACCGCTCATCGTCCATGTCAACATCAGTCCCTGGGTCATCATCGTCGTCACCCATGGCCGGTGTGTCTGCCTCAGTATTGGTTATACTGGAATACTTTGCCCTGAGCTGTTCAACCGTCAAATTGGCATCTTCATCATCCGGATCGGGGTCAGGATCAGATTCAGAGTCAGACATGTTGGCGTCGTCACCAAGCTCCTGTTCCAGATCGTCCTCGAGCGCTTCATCAAACTCTTCCTCGTCATCCAGGATCTCTTCGTCAAGGTCCATTTCTGATACGGACACCACCGATTCAGGACGGTCGGCACGCCGTGCATCAAGAAGTTGGGTCGAGTGCTCAAGCATTTGGTGAAGATGCTGCTTCCCTGCTTGCCTTCGTTCTTCTTCTGCTCTTTCTTTTCTTCGCCTCTCGACTTCCTAATAAATGGTTAGCATGATTCATGAATTTAGCCAGAAAAGC